TGATTTAGGGGTCCACTAGATGGATTCCCGAGTTGTACTTTTGTAGGTTTTACATTATTGGATTATCTTTAGTATTTGAGGATTTTATATTTAATACTTCTTCCAACTTTAATGCTTATTTCTTTTAATTCAATTTTTGTAATCTGTATTCGTTTTAAAATACTTTAATTGTTTGATATTCCCTCGAATTCGGGCTTGGGCCTGATCAACCCGTGTCTCGGATCCGAGGGGTATCATAGTACCATATATATATATATATATATATAAATCTGTTCAAGTTATGCAATTGAAAAGGTTTATTGACCTGACACATATTTATAAGTAGGACTTAACTTTTGTAGTTAATCCATCTTATTTCAAAATAGGTAGGACTTAGTGTTTTGAACTGATCTGTCCCCAGAATAGGTAGGTCTTAGTATTTTGAACTAAGTCATCCTTAATATGCCGCCGTCCCATACCTGTGCATATATATATATATATATATATAAGTAGGACTTAATTTTTATAGTTAATCCAACTTATTTGAGAATAGGTAGGACTTAGTGTTTTGAAACTAATCCGTCCTTAGCATACCACTGTCCCATACTGGTGCATACAATCCATGCATCCAGTAAATGATAATACAGATAATAATTGTAAACATCAATTAATCCACAATAAGCAGAATCAAAATATGTAAATTGACATGCTTATTTTATACCACTTCACATAAACTAATAATTGATAATACTGATAATATATGTAGATATCAAGTAATCCATAATAAGCATAGTAGAATTCTGTAAATTAACATGCTTATTTTACATCCCTGATACATGATAAAACTATATCATATATAAATAAATTGCTAAAACACAGGTAGCAAATTGAACCATCCACCTCCAACAACAATATGCAATTTAATTAGGAAATTCATATTGTTCAAGATACTAATTCCAGGTGATTTATTATGCATTAACATGTCCTCTGAAGTTTTTAATATAACTCTAGACATCATTAAAATCCCCCACTAAGACCTAATTACACCTGGAATATCAAAAATCCAACAACAGTAGACAAAACTCGCCAAAAACATAAAAAAAATAAAAATTCAGCAAGGGAGCCTGCTCCATTAAAATGTAAAGCCAGCTCCATTGCAAAGGAGCTGCCTCCAAAAAGTGTGGAGCCTGCTCCACTCCAATGGAGCCACCTCAATTGAAGGGTGGAGCCGCCTCCACTCTTCCCAGCCTCCGTTTTCTCCGACGCCTACTATTTTCTGACTTTTCGACTGCCCATGTTAAGGTTTCTAACCCTCCATTCTAAGTCCCAAGCAGTCCCAGTTAATTATAGGAAGAAATTTTGCATCACTTACATGAATAAAAACAAGTTTACATTCCCGTAAAAATAAGAATTAAATCAAAAGCATATACTAACCATAAAACAGTTTTATTTCGATTTAATTCAATTCAATTCCATTCAATTCAAACATGCTTAAAAGATATATTTTAACATCAATTTAAACCCTGGAGACTACCTAGACATGCACAGAATACAGGTTTAAGGGAGGGAGTTAGAATAGGAACTTGCCTTCGGTTTCAGTTTTGAAACCTTAAACCACCGTCTCTGAGTTTTCCAACAAATTCTAGACTGCCGTTCAACACCTCCATTGCTCTTGGTTCAATCCAGAAGCAATCCCTTCCTTCTTCCTTTAGCCTCCCTGGTTATCTCTCAAATCCCTCTCTGTTTTCCTCTCAAATTTCTTTGTACGTGAATAGGGTATTCCCAACCCTAGACAGACGTACTTATATATTTATAGGCTTAAGAAAACCATAAACTCTAATCCTAATTATGCTCAGAGAAGGGAAAAAAAAAAAAACAATTAAATTTATAATTAAGTCGGCTATCCAATACGTGATTACCTAGACATGTAAAACCCTAAATATAATTTTAGTTAAACAATTAATAAAACAAAGTTAATCAAATAAACTAATTAATTCATTTAAATAAAATAAATAATACAATTAAATCATTAAACAATTAAAACAATTAATTCAATTAAATAAAACAAATAACATAATTAACTCAATTAAGAAAACAAACAAATAATCAAATAAAAATACACCAAAACAATAATTAATATGCTGAGACTATTCTTTTAAAATTAGGGGTATTACAATTCTGACGTGCACATCAATAAAGTTTTTGTTTCTTTCTGTTGTTCCTTACAAAATAATACAAGGGTAAAGTACAGAGACACCCCCTGAGATTTAGTAAAAGGACACTCAGATGAAAGTTTGCCTATTTTGGGACAACTACACCCCCTTGCGAAATTTGCCATCCAAACATTGCCTTAAAACATGTGAAAAGTCTATTTTACGCTTCATTATTTTATTAATTTTAATTATAAAATATCAAAATACTTAAATGACTCAGCACCCAATCAATCCAAAAACCCTACCACCAATTCTAGCACCACCGCCACACCAAAATCCACAGCCACCCCCAACCCATCGCTACCATCTTAACCCCAACAACCGCCCCAATTTATTTTCGCTGTTGATTCATCATTAGCCTTCACCCCTTACCACCAATCATCACCACCAATTAATTACAAAACCAAACCAAAAAAAATGCAAGCAAGAGAGAGCAACCCATTTACAGAACATTGAATCCATCACTGCCGGATTTTTCTCTTTGGCTGTACTTGGCCGGCCGCCATCATCTAAAGCTGATCTCACCATCGCCACTATCCACAACCGAGCCATGACATCACCGTCTTCAGCCTTGCACATCACTGAGCTCGCCTCCTCCTCTATCACAGCCGGCATCATCAAAGCCGAAGCTCTCCGCCGTCACCTTCATCTGCGCCGCCACTGATTCATTTACGCCATCGCCCATCAGAGGAAGCAAAGTCGGCTTTAGAGACGAGAACAATAACGGCGAACTCGCATCCGCCAGATCTGTCCGGACCCACCTATTGAATAAACCAACGACGTCTGTCTCCGCCGGCACAGCTCCGGTTCTGCCTATATTCGACACGATGGCTCCCAGACCGTCCCTAACTCCAGCGCTTGCCCCTGGACCGGGAGGACCTCACAACACTTCACCGCCGATCTACTTGTCTCTTTCATTGACGACGTCTTCGATCCGCCGCCGATCTGTTTGTCTTTGATCCGCCGGAGATGGTGGCCTTCTTTGAGTTTCCGATGGTGAAGAGAGAGTTGAGGAAACTCACAATCCTGCCGCCTTGTGTGTGTATATATATATGTATCTGTATATACATATATATATATGTGTGTGTGTGTGGGGGGGGGGGGTGTGTGTATATATCTGTATGTGTCTATATATATGTATATATGTATCTGTGTAACAATATGTGTGTATTGGTGTTGGGAGGAAGAGATAACAGAGAGGAGAAGGAAACAAATGGTTAAGGGTATGAGGTTATAATTGTCATTTCAACATTTAAATTGGTCAATATAAAAGTCAAATGGCAAAAATGTCAATTTATTATCATTAGGGTGTCTTTGGTAGTTGTATCAAACTTAAATGGGTGTCATTATTCCAAAATAGGGCAACTTTCATCTGAGTATCATTTTGACAAATCTTAAGGGGTGTCAATGTACTTTACCCATAATACAATTAATCCAATTGGTTCCTATGGAAATTTAAACATTTTATAAGATTAAAAACCAAAATTGAACTATAATTCTTCGTAGCATCAAGAAAATATTTTTTCATACATGCATTTTAATGGTATGATTTAATTGTATTTTTTTTCCTTCTAAAATAAAAAATGAAGAGTTCAAGTCTCCATAAAAAATTATATTTTCAAAAATAAAATTACTAAATATTTAGGATAAAATTAATAAAAAAATTTATTTAATTTCATAAAGAAATGTGAGTGTTTTAATTGGATGGGAGTGTCAATTCATTTTTCATCGTTGAAGGAGAAAGCTCATTTCTTATCAGTGGTATAGTTCAAAGTTTTAATGCACGTCAATATTAATCACGTCACTGAAAAGCGTCAGCACCTAAAGAAGTTGTTTGAGTACTTTAGCTTTTCCCATCATCCACCCCACTTCATGCAATAAACATTGCAATTATTGTAGTCCGGAGATAACAATTTCCCGTCTCTCTCTTTTTCCTCTTTTTCTTTGATTGACCGGTTAACATTGTAAATTATAAAAAAATTTATATTAATTTGAAGACATATTTTCTATTAAATTTGTATAAATTTATCTTTAATTTTTTAAATTACTTGTTTAAATAAAAATCTTAAGTAGAAAATTTTAAAACAATTAAAATAATTTCTTAATTTTTGATGAAAATATTACATAAAAAAGAAGGTATTTTTTATTTAACTAATTTATTAATTTTTCATGAATATATCATATATTGTATGAAAAAATATATATTTTTTCAAAGTAAATGAGTTTAAACTAAGTATAATAAGTTTTATTAAAAATAGTAAAATTTTAATAATAAGTTAATAATTTTAGAAAATGGTAGTTATAAATTTATTTATTTTTTTAAATTGATTATAAATTGATACTAATAATAAAATTAAGGTATATGATATAATTAATATTTAGATAAGAGAAAAGATAATAAAAATATTTAACAAGAAATGAGAAAGTTAATTAAAAGGGTAAAATAATTTTTAAAATGAATTATTTCTTAATTATAATAAATTAATAGTTTATAGGGGTAATTAGTAGTTCAGGTTAATTGTAAAGGGCACCAGTTTAAGAATTTATTTATTATTTTTAACTCTTAATAGTCTGGTCTTGTTACTTGTGGTGGAAAAATCTGCTACTACTGCCAGAGACTTTTCCCAGTCGTCCAAGCAAGTCTTCATTCAATTGGCCCACCCTCACGCGACTCATGTTTCAATCCGCAGCAAAAGTTGCAGCAAAAGTTGATGCCTTCTGCCTTCAGTTACCATTTAATATTCATTTATCAAACTCTCTTTTCAATCAATTATCTCTGGACTAATTGGGAAATATGAAGGGAGAACGAGGGTGATTTTTAAATTTGAATCAACGAAACCTTAATTTTAATAGCAAACCTGAATATTGGTTGGTCCACCAAAGATTTTAATTAGCATTGCCTTTTCTCGTAGCTCTCATTCTTATTATTATTTTTTTTTAAACCCCGACTTTTCAAATCTTTAATTCCATTCACATCTCTCTTCATCTTTTTTCTCTTCGGGGTTTTAAGTCTCTCCCACAATGAAGAATACCAGCAGGAGTAGGACAATTCTATATTTTAACAACATGATTCTCACTCCTCTGTACCTCCTCTTCCTACTCACTACTTCACTCTTCCCCATTTTCTGCAACTCTTACACCCCTACTGAAAATATCACCGTTGCCTGCGGCTCCTCTGACAACACCACAGCCCCAGACGGCCGGGAATGGGTGGCCGACATTGTTCCCAATTATCTGTCCCTTTTGGAACAAAAACACAACTCATCAATACCCTCTCCAGCACAAAGACCGTCTCCCCAAGCCAGCTTTGTTCCCTACTTGAAAGCACGCATATCTCTGTCTGATTTCACCTACGTATTTTCGGTCACTGCCGGTCAAAAGTTCATACGCTTGCACTTCTACCCTTACATATACCAAAACTTCGACCCCTCCAAAGCCTTCTTCTCCGTCAAAGCCAATAAATTCATTCTTCTCAACAACTTCAGTGCCTCTCTAACAGCTGCTTCTCTCGGCTCTGAGTCCTCTGACTATCTATTTAAAGAATTCTGCATAAACATAGAAGATGAAGATCAAACATTGAACCTCACCTTCACTCCGTCTTCAACTCCATCCGATGCACACGCTTTTATCAATGGAATTGAAATTGTCTCCATGCCTACCAATCTTTATTACACCCCGGCCGAGGCTCAAGATGGTATTACTTTTATCGGCTATGAGCAAACCCCAATTCGTATTGAAAACAACACTGCTCTTGAGACCGTACACCGATTAAATGTGGGTGGATCAGAAATTTCACCAGTGGAGGACACGGGCATGTTCCGAAGCTGGAACGATGACAGCGGCTACGTTTCAAACATAGGGGCTCTTCCAGTTAACCACAGCTTTGAAGTTCTCTTCACCAAAGTACCCAATTACACTGCACCCGCTCAAGTATACATGACCGCTCGGTCCATGGGAAACAACAAAACTGTAAACAAAAACTACAATCTCACTTGGAATTTGCCTGTGGATTCGGGTTTTACGTACCTGGTCAGACTACACTTTTGTGAGTTCCAAGTTGAGGTCACAAAGCAAAGTGACAGGGAATTCACTATATTCATAGCCGATAAGACAGCGGAGCCTCAAGCCGATGTGATTGTTTGGGCTGGAAGAAATCATGTCCCGTTTTGCAGAGATTATGCAGTGATGGTGAGTCAAGGAAGAGATCAGAAGAAACAGAATTTGTCTATAGCTCTGCATCCCAATCCGGAATCAACGACTGTTTACTCTGATGCCATCTTGAATGGAGTAGAGGTTTTCAAACTCAGTGACTATTCCGGCAATCTCGCCGGACTCAACCCTGACCCAGTTCCCCCGCCCGCCTCCCCGTCTACCCCACAACCAGCGAATACGGGAAAACAAAAAACTACACCAGTTGCCGCCGTGGTCGGTGGTGTTCTTTCCGGTGTGGTTGCACTCTGTGTTCTTGCTTTGTTGATTTTCCGGCAACGGAGGAGAGATAAGGAATCAGGTTTCGGCAAGAGCTCCTACACCGCAAAAAAACACGACAAAATGAGTGGCCCACTTCTACCGTCCGATCTGTGTCGTCGCTTTTCTTTTGCTGAAATCAAAACCGCGACTGATAACTTCAACGGCGATTTAATTATTGGACGTGGAGGCTTTGGCGACGTGTACAAAGGGTGTACAGACGATGGGACCACTCAGGTTGCGATCAAACGGTTGAAACAAGGGTCTCAACAGGGGGCCCACGAGTTCGAAACTGAAATCGAGATGCTCTCTCAGCTCCGTCATCTCCATCTCGTTTCTCTAATTGGGTACTGCAACGATGAAGGTGAGATGATCCTTGTGTACGAATACATGTCTCGTGGGACCCTTCGTGATCATCTTTACGGCTCCGATTATCCTTCACTCCCGTGGAAGCGAAGGCTCGAGATTTGCATCGGTTCTGCGCGTGGGCTGAAATACCTTCATGACGATGCAAAGCATAGGATCATTCACCGCGACGTAAAGACAACCAATATTTTATTGGATGATAAATGGGTGGCAAAGGTTTCAGATTTCGGATTATCCAAAGCAAACTCCAATCTCGCCGCCAACACCGCAATCAGCACCGTGGTGAAAGGTAGTTTCGGGTATTTGGATCCTGAATATTTTCGACGGCAACGATTGACCGAAAAGTCTGACGTGTACTCTTTTGGAGTGGTGTTGTTGGAGGTATTGTGTGCTAAATCACCGGTGAATAGGACGGCGTTGGAGAGAGATCAAGTGAGCTTAGCCGCGTGGGCTCGCAAATGTTATCAAAATGGTACACTTGATCAGATCATTGATCCACATCTGAGTGGAAAGATCGAGCCGGAGTGTTTGAAGAGATTTGCGGAGATAGCAATGAAGTGTTTGGACGATGAGGGAACCAAACGTCCCCCAATGAATGAAGTAGCGTGGACCTTGGAGTTTGCATTGGAGCTGCAAGAGGGTAAGAAGGAGGGAATCAAGACTGATGGAGCTGATGTAGAATTTAAGGAAAGGGATCTCAATTGTCAAATTGGGCCGGTGGGCAGCGATGATGGACAAGTGTCGACCAGTGGGGTGACGATGACGAGTGATGGTGGGACGAGTTTTACAACCGATGGGTCTGATAAAATGTCTTCGGGTGCTGTATTCTCTGAGATCATGAACACTAGCGGGCGTTGAAATGTGGTTATTGGGGGCGAAGCTCTCGCCAGTAGTCATCATAGTTTGTTTCATAGTTTGTGATAATCATTTGGATTATTAGTAATGTACTAAAATATAAGTATGGTACATGATAACTCAGAGGTATTTTCTAGACATGAGCTTTCTCCTGAAGGAGTGGTGAGCTCAAACCACTGTGTGTGTTGTTGCTTACCAAATCAAAATTGATAAGCATGTTTGTTTATTTATAATCATATGTCTTTTGAATTAATATGATTTGTTCAACTGGTTTAATGGCTGATAATATGTTGGCGGACACTATGAAATGGTGGTCAGAGATGAATAATAATTTGAACATTCTAGTTCAGGATAGAAATTGATCTAAAACAACATATAAACAAAGCGAGTGGGTATTGAATTTGAACAGAGACTTTTTAGTTCATTTTTTGATAATAATTATCTAATTTTATACCACATATGATCATAAAATAATTTTAAAATAATTAACCAACACTTCATATAATAAAATATTTTTTTTTATTACCATAATATAACAAATACATATCTATCTTTTATATTCAGACCCAGAACTTTCGTCAGCCTTGCCTTTTCTTCTGTAGTAGTAAGGGTTACAAGATGTCTGTAATAATTCTCATCATAACCACTTTTGGGCTTCAACTTTTCAGAAAAAGTGTGGAGTGTTTTGGACATTACATAGATTTCCCGTGACGAATTCAAATTAGCTATTGAACGTGTTCTAATTTGATAAATTATTCCAAAAGAAGATTGTAAAGTTGACAATGTTAGAGAACTATCACTTTAATGTGACATTTGGTTGATTATACATAATTTTATGTACCCAGAAATTTGTTTCAGGGACAACTTGGAACAAAAATGGGGTTAACAAAAAGGTTTGAGTTTAACAAGGCACATAATTAACTTACAGCATTATATAGATTTATTTTTCTCTTTAGAATAGATGGATTTCTCCCCCAAAAGTATTGTTGGAATTCTTTTTCAACACAACAATACAATTTTTCGACACAAATGCTTACCTCCATCACAGGTTTTGAATTCAGTGATCAATTCGGTACATTATTTTGGGCCTCTTTGTTGGCCTTAAAGCACTGGGCCAATTTAAGTTCATTTTCTACACACTTTTTTATTCCCTTCCTGTTTTTTACTGGCCAATGGGCTGGGTTTTTGTCCATAATCTTATGGGGGCTCTGTTTTTTTTTTTTTGGATATGCCCCACTTATACTTTGCAAATTGTCTTTTATTTTATTTTAATTGCATCTCACTTATTTACCAAAGAAAGAAAAAAAATTTGTCAGTTCTAAAAGGAACGTTAAAATTTTACTAAATTATGCCACATAATGCTCCTTCTGTCTAACCTGTAAAATTATAATCAATCAAATTATGCTTAAGTTGATTTATGGATCTCAGCACAACAAATTATTTTAACAAAAAATTTTTTTGCAAAAGATTGTTTTTTTTTTTTTTTTTTTTTTTGTAGCAAAAAGTTTCTAGAAAAAAAAAAAAAAAAAAAAAAAAATTGTCACCAAGTTGTAGCAAAAAAGCTAATTACTAAAGATTTGAGTTTTATAGCAAATCTAATTATATTTACTACAGTTTAATTTTGTAACAAATAATAAGATATTTGCAACAAAATTATGACATAGCAATTCATCTAACAATTGCTTACAAATATATGACATATACTACTACCATTCAAATAAACAAATAAATAAAATTATAAAGGAAATTTAATATTATCATCTATATAAGTCAAGTTTCTTGACACGAATAATAATTATTTCGTTTTCATTTCAAGGTTTTCTAAGAAGATTCAACATCACTAATGTTATGTCAAATAATGAATATGACATGGACAGACGAATTGACACTTGGTAATTGAGAATTAAAGCCATTTCTAGAAATTTTTGTCGCCAGCATTTTAATCATAGAAGTATGCATTATATGAAAAACTTATAGTAACCTTAAATTTAATATTATCCATGCACAGATACGGGAAATAATGAAAAAAAAATAAGAGAAAAAGGGTGCCTGACTAATTCAAAAGGCAAATGATTAATAAAGATGTTTCATTTGGAAAAAAATGTAAATTGACAAAGACCAATTATTTTCCCGTAATGAGCGCGGCTGGTGTGTATCATGTGGTGAATGTATTTGGCAGAAAATATTGGAAAAGTAGCAATAATTCAAGTTGGAGCCAGGAAAGAGAACCATTCATCCAATTCAAGGTAATGATTCAATTATAAAATATACTCTAAACCTAAGTGCTTGTTTGGTGAATGAATTGGCCGGGTTGGAGCAAGTAAAATGGTTGTGAAGAAAGGGTATTCATTAGCATTCCTTGTGGTAATACTGGGCGCCACAATTGTATGTGGAGCTATCTCCATCTCAATCTCTATCTCTGTCTCATCATATAAGAAGACCATCAATTTGAAGTCACAGTCTTCCTGCAATGAGACCATTGGCGAATGTCGCATGCTGGTGCTTCCAATGGATCCTGAAATAAGTAGAAGGCTACTCACAGGGAATGAGGGAGGTGTGACTGGCGTGCCCGAGAATGGGGGAGGACAGACTGCAAAGACATTAAATATAGGTGCAGCCGTAGGCGCGCAGTGTGACAGAAATTATGGAAGTTGCCTTCCTGGTGCAAACGGAGACGTCAATGATAGGTGCCATCCTTATCAGAAGTGTCGCCTTGGCAATTCCTAGCTACTCGATCACACATGCAAAATCTTTGTTTGGCAAATTCAAGAAATAATTTCACTTGTCTTTCTTAATTTGTTGCTTTTAAACCAGGTGTTATGTAGTGTTTATTTAAATTATAGAATCATTATGCCAATGATCGATTCTAGTGTTGCTTTCACCATTTTCCTATTATGTAACATGATATATGATTTGATGCAAGGGTTGTACTGGTGCTGTAAGGATACACGTTAGACCATGTCGATTGCAATTATTACTGAACGTTTGATCACCACATTTGTATTATCCAACCTGTCATTATTTTATTCCCTTAAGGAAAATTAATTTTTGAAAGAGAGCGCCAAATCGATCTGACGCCCAAAAAAAAAACTTAAAACTTAAAAGTCTTCTGATTCTAATTGAAAATTACGTCTATAAATTATTGCGTTCATGGTACTTTCTCCTGCTGCTACTCACGGGCTACTTGTTCTATTCTCATATTTATTATATTAAAAAATATGCCCTTAAAATATTCGTTAAACGGTTGAAAATTCTTTTGCAAGAAAACAAATGGCAACAAGACATTTTAAAGTAACAACAAAATTGAAAACAAGAGAACATGGGAAGATAAATATTTTTTTAAGGACAACAATAATGAACACAAGTTGGAGGCAGGAATGACGGAGGACCATTCATTTGATATCCGAAGCTAAAGTTTCAACTATAAAAAGGATACTACTCTCTAAAGGCTGGTATTGCCCCCCAAGTGCATGTGTGCTGAAAGAAATAGAGTAGTGGTGAATTGGGTTGGAGCTTGTAAGTAAAATGGTGCTTACATTATTTGTGAAGAAAGGCTGTTCACTTGTATTCCTTTTGGTAATACTGGTCACAATTTTATGTGTAGCTACCTCTACCTCCACCTCACATGAGAAGAGCGTAGTCAACTTCGAGTCACACTACTCCTGCAATGGTACCATTGGTGAATGCCTTATGGACAAAGAGCTGGTGCTTCCAATGGATCCTGAAATTAGTAGAAGGCTACTCGGTGGCAGTGGGGGAGGAGTGACTCCAAAGACGGTGAAACCAGGTTCAGTAGGCCCAAAATGTGATAGAAAATACTTACCTACATGTATTACCCAAGCAAATTACAAAAAAGTCAAGAACACGTGCACTGATTACCAGAAGTGTCGCTCAGGCCATCCTCCGTAGCTAGTCACAGCATATGCAGTATCTTTGATTGGTGGTGATGCAGTAAGTACCATAACAAGAAGCGAGAGTTTACTTACAAAGAAAAAAGGAGCAGATGTGGCAAATTCAAGAAACTATCAGTGTCTTTCTTAATTTCTTGATTTTAAATCGTGTATTATATGTATTGTGCATGTATTTAAATAATAGAACCATTCTTCTGCTGATTCTAGTGATGGTCGTTCATCTTTCAATTACCTTTAAAGTGTTTATATATATATAGTTGCATTATTTATATATAAACACTTAGAAACAAGCATCATCGCCTCTAGAATATATTTATATTTCAAAGTATTCTCGTGCATTAACCTAATTGACAAATTAGCAAAGTATTTTCTTCTAGAATTTTACAAACAAGCGATTAAATACCAGTATGTCCACGGGTCACATGTATCCATGTCTAGATAGGTTGATTTAGATTATTATTGTTGAATGCTGAACATTTTTACTTGGGTGTACTAAATTTGAATTATCCAGCTTTTGATTACCCGCTTAATCATTTCTTGACAAATTAACTACTTTCCCAAAAGCTTAGGCCAATTAATTTCTGCAGACAGTACGTACACCTAACCAGACAACAATTAAATGTTCCAAATAGCCTGCTCTGTTTCACAAGAATAGCAATAATTAAACAAGTTGGAGGTAGGAATGATGGAGGACCATTCATTTGATATCCGAATTAGCTTATGTTTCAATTATAAGAAGAATCAACTCTAAAGGCTGGTATTGCCTAAGTGCATGCTTGGTGAAAGAAATAGAGTGGTGTGAATTGGAGTAAGTAAAATGGTGCTTACATTATCTGTGAAGAAATGCTGTTCATTAGCATTCCTTGTGGTAATGGTGGGCACAATTGAAATGGTATGTGGAGCTATCTCTATCTCTACCTCACGTAAGAATTCTCATCATCGTCAACTTCAGGTCACAACATTACTCATCCTGCAACGGTACCATCGGTGAATGCGACATGGACGAAGAGCTGCAGCTTCCAATGAATCCTGAATTGAGTAGAAGGCTACTCGGCGGGAATGGGAAAGGAGTGACTGACGGGACGTATAACCGAAATAAACCTGCCGGAAATTGTAACAGAGACAGATACGGTAATTGCCTTCCCGGTAGAAAGTCAACCGTGGATGCAAAGCTTTTGACAGGTGTCGCCTTCCCCGCTAGTCACAGCATATGCAAAATCTCTGCTGGGTGGTGATGCAATAACTATCTATAACAATAAGCCAGAGCAGACGAGAGAATGCAAATGGAAAAATATTCGTGGTAGTATTTCGAGGTTGTGTGTCCATGTGTCACATATATCCA